CAACAATGCCTACCTTGAAAATAAAGATCTTATCTGTTGGCTAGTTATATATAGATCAGGCGGAAGTTCATCAGCTGCATGTGTACCTGCTCAGGGCTCTTTTTTTTTACTTGATTCTTCTCCATGAATAAAGTATTTATACAACAGTTCTTTCTGCTGATTTAAAAATCTAAAAGAACTTCGAACTGGTAATGCCCAACCTTGCAATAGAAAAATGTTCATGCAATGTGGTTTGTCTTTTACGGAAGCACTGTTAGAGGATGAAGAAATTGGCATATTTAGTTGTGAAGTAATTTTCATCTTATGAACAAACGAGTTGCGAACTTTATCCAATGATGTTAATGATTTCGGAACTGTATGAAGACCGGATAGCATGTGTTCTTCTAACTCAGCATCGCTTTCAAATGATAAAGTACAACTCATTTCAGTGCAAAATTTTAATGAATATAATTGCCTGTCACTTCTTTTCTGTTTTTCCTTAAATGACTAGTTACGCTTAATTGAATTATCTGTTTTGCTATATGGCAACAACAACTTAATCGAGGGTTGAATTTTAAGATTTCCATACTCTTGTTCAATTCCCTCACCGATATTGAAATAACGCCACATCTTCATACTTTTCTCACCAAACTCAAATGAGTGATAGTGGCTAATGTTCTTAATCTTTGGTCTAGTAACTACAGTTTTATCATTGCTAATTTGAGCAACTGCTACTAAACTATAATGCATAGCCTTGTGTATATCTTCAGCAGTCAAAAGATTATTACCAGAGTCAACGTAACTCCTTAAAATTGTCTTTACAACTGCACTCTCCCTGTCACATTGATCTTTTCCACAACAGGGTTCATTATAATCATATCTCAGCAAATTTATATCTCTCTCTTTGCATACATTGTAGATTGCTTCAGCTGAAAGATTTCCCTGATATATATATATATAATTTCTCTGTGTTGGATTGAAGATTTTTTTCAGATGGATCTGATAAGGCATGTTTTGAGCTATGAGAAGAAATGTTTGAGTCATTGACACTACAATTGGTTTGATAACTTGTTTTCAAATACCTTTTTCCTTTTTCAAGGGCAGCTTCGAGAAATTTAGAACTAAATCTTTGTGCCAATTTTTGTAATGTTTGAAAACCATTCATGCCTGAAGAAGTAACATCATCTAATCCAGCTAAGCTTTTTCGACTTAAAGGTTTTATTGCATGCAATACTTTCCACAAACTTAAATCAGATAATGGTACATAATTGTTTTCACTACAACTTTTTCAATAGAACATGATAGCGTGGCTATATTTTGTCGTCAGTATTGCATGCACTATCTTTTGTTCTTCATTGCTGTCGTATTTTAATTTGGTTATTCCATAAGCAACATCATGCAAAATATCGCTTGTAAATATAAAGTCTAAGAAATGTTCACACTTTGTTTGATCAAGACTAGATCAGACGAATACTTTCTTCTCTGGAAATGCCAACCCTTTATGAGATGCATGCCATTTTCTTGCTGTTTCTATACGTTGTTTGGTACACTCAAATGTGTTCATTATAAACTTTTTGGTATACTTGGTATGGTCTAATAATGAGAGGATAACTAACTTTCCCATGGAATCACTTTGCTTATATACTTTCTGAGCACGAATAGTTTCAATTGGGAGAGGGCTACTTATTTCATCAACATTTTTACTGTTAAGAAAATTTATAAGTATTTCCTTATGTCCAGGAGCAACAGCTTCCGCGAATTTTTTCTTTAATAAGTTTTCTAGGCGAACATACTTGCGTTTTAACTTATCTTTAGTAGTATTTTCCAGATATTCGAACTTCCTTTTTAATCTAAATTTTATTGGACTTGCATTAAGAACCTCAGTTACACTCTCACGGCTTCTTAGAGATTCGTCCAAAATCTCCTGTGAAACATTAATTTCACCGGGATCAAATTCTTCATCTGGAGTAGCAGGTGTCATATATGTTTGTTCTTGTTGTGTTTGTGTTTCTGTACATAAATTGGTGTTTTTGTTGACTCTAGATAAAGCAGTTTCTTGCTTTAAATGGGTAAAACACAGCATTGCACTAACTGAAAATACTTCATTGTATCGCTTTGACATGGATATGACGACATGTATTGGTGACGCCCTTAAAGCGGGAGATTTTTTTCCTTTTATATTTAGATGGTGAGGATGAAAGCATGTTTTTGGAGGACTCCATGCAATACCAAACGTGTACCGGTGAAAAGCACATATTTGTTCATCCTTTTCAAGATTTCTTTTAAGTCTATTTGCAATAAGTCCATTTTCTTCCCAAATATTATTATCGTTTAATCGCATGACCTAAAAACAATTTTTTAAACAATTATTAAGTGTGTCATTTAAAGCATTGTTTATAATCTGACTCTTCACGAAAAATGTTTACAAGTTTGAAATACATTGTTGTTATTATTAAAATACAATATTGCAAGAGTGTGATTAATTTAGTGATTATTTATTAAAAGAGTGAGGAATTAATTAAAAGAGCTATTTTTTTTTGTTTAAAGAACTTTGTCTCAAAATCTTATTGCAGAGAAGTTATAAAGTATGTAATTATAAAAACTATATTACAGTCTGCGTAAATTTAAAATACATAATTACCTTTAAGTTGATGAGGTATTTCTTAACATCAACATCTCCCAGCTGATGAATGTAGAACATTTTGTTTATAATTTTATGTTTTTTGAATGATCCACAATTTTCTTTTGAAAAACAACAACAGTTTTCATAAAAATATTTGTTTTGTTCCATACTCAACTAAAAACAAGTTCTATTTATGCAGTACCTATTTCTCAATAGCAATGATAAAATATCTACTCTATTTATGCAAATTTTAAAGATCGTTAAAATAAAGTTAAGACATTTTTATGGTAAAGTAAACAACCGCCCACTAACTTGTTTCTCCACAATCGTGGTATCAGCACGAATTATCAAGAAGAATCTTCTTCCATTTGATCACCACAAGTTATTTGGTTATGACGTAAATTTAAATAATTCACTTCTGATCATGTATTGTTTTTTATTATTATTTATTTCAATTGTTATGATTCCTATATCATAGTCAGAAACGCTTAAATTTTTTCTTAACATTACGTGCAATTTTTTGTGTAATGCTAATTGCTAATTTTGGATGATAGAAATTTTATTGTGAGCGAAAACCTCATCAGTGTGTCCAAAAAAATATCTCTTCGTACTTAATCATTTTTAACAATTTGTACCTTTATTTTTAACTTAATATCTAAAGATCACATGAGTTTTTTTTTAAACTATGTTAGGGTCATCTTATATTGACCATTTAACATGATTATATTTTTACAAAACTTAGCGCCTCTGCCGTAATCGCTCATTTTGTAAGTATACTATAACATTTTTTTCCAATTTCAAGCCTTAATATATTAATAGGCCTTAGGTATCACATAACTTTCTTTGCATTTTTAGACTCAATACCTTTGATAATTTCAAATCCTAAAAGAAAAATTGTGTGCAACACTTCGCCGCTAGAATTAACTCCGATTAAAAATTGACAAAACTGATTGATTTTGTACTTTTGAACTATGATAATTAGCCAACCGCACAGTGTCACGCAACTTTTTTATATTTTTTGGAGAGAGCTTTTGGGTTACGTCTGATATTAACTACAAAAGCTATGTGCAACTTATTGCCTTGCCAAAAAAATGGGTTTAAAGGTGGCAAAAACTAAATTTCTAAAAATTTAAAAAAAGTCTCAAAAATTTAAGCCCAGATTCCGAGTGAACGAAACATTTTTGAAAACTTTTTTTTTCCCCAACAGGTTTTCTCTATATTCTGATCAATATATAAAAAATTCAAGCAATTTGGAGGAGGTATCTTCCATTGACTGCCTGATTTTTACAAAAAATGACTCTTAAATATTAAAAAAATCTGAAGCAAAAAAAAAAAATTATAAGATCTAAAGCTTTTGTTTGGACTAGAGATCGCCGGTTACAGTATACGGTATACTAACTTTACGGTATACTTTACCGTATAGTTGGTATACTAAAAACTACTATACCAATTAGTATACCTGTTATTTATGAAATATTTTTTAAATGATTTTATAATTCAATAATGATATTATCTTAATTGATTAAATAATTGTATTATATGTATTACGCGATTACTTTTTTAGATAAATAATACAATAATTATTAATAATAAATATAGTATTATTTATAGTAGTATTAAAAGAATTATCATTTATTAAAGTAATGTTTTTTTGTAATTTAACTTTTGAAAGGTTTTTGAATTTATTTATTTAAATTTTAATTGTTTTTTGTTCTTTTTTATTTGTTTATTGTATGTATAAAAGTAACATGTTTTCTCTTACCTTGAAGTAAAATATTTAATGTCAGAACAAATTTACCAACATATCTCTTTTTTTGGAAAAGGTTCAACAAGAAAAATTTATTGCAAATATTGTGATAAACAAATTACAGCAAAATCAACATTAAGATGGGAGCAGCATTTAAGAGGATGTAGAAAAACGTCTGATGAGGTTAAGTTGTGCTTTAAAAAAATAAAAAAAGAAGTTCAGAGTGTTATAGTTGAAACAAAAGGATATGATAATATGGCTTCACAAACCTCTGAAAATTTAGTTTTCAAAGAATCTGGGCAGCCTGCTAAAAGAACTATGCTAAATTCATACTTTGACACTATAAGCAAAGATGACATTGATAAGATAGATAAATCATATGCAAGGACATTTTTCCATACAGGAGTACCTTTTGCATTAGCTGATTCTTCTGCATGGAAGCAACATCATGCTAATCTTAGACCTGCATATAAACCTCCATCTAGTAAATGTATAAGTGGGCGTCTTTATAAAGATGCATTAAATGATGAAAAACATGCAATAAAAAAATATGTTGATAGTTCTGAATAGGTTAGTATAGTGACTGATGGATTTTCAAACATTAATGTGAATCATCTTGTTAGTTATTCAATTCATGTTGAAAATAGGACTATGAAACCTATTGCTTACAAAATTGAGCCTACTGGTCAAGAACAGCAAACTGGCATTAATATTGCAAAACGCATAGAAAATGTAATTCTTGAAATAGGTGTTGATAAAGTTACAAGCATTGTTACTGATAACGCATCAAACATGAGAGCTGCATGGGATATTATTGAAAAAAAATATCCAAAAATATTTTGTAATGGTTGTGCTGCCCATACAATAAATCTTTTAGTAAAAGATATTTGCCTTCTTCCTGAGTTTGTGGATAATTTACAAAAGTCTGGAAAACTGACAGCCTTTGTTAAACAAAGAACATCACTTATCGATCAATTTCGTATAATTCAAAATCGTGTTAAACAAGAAAATAATTTGAAGAAAATGCGAGCATTATCACATGTAGTTTTAACACGGTGGTATAGCCATCATACATCTGTTGCCCGTAATCTTGAAAACAAACTAGTTCATTTGAATTTAATTAACTCTGGTGCCTTCTCACGTGTATCTATATCAAAAAAAAAATCAGATTATGTAAACATTGTACAAGACAATTTTTTTTGGGAAGAATGTCAACGTTTTATTAATGTTATGAAACCATTATCAAAATTAGTAGGTAAACTGGAATCCGATAGTTGTCTACTTTCTGAAGTTTATATAGGGTTTGTTAACTTAATGGAAATATGGAAGGAAGACGCAGTATTAAAAACTCTTGTTTTAAGCAGATGGGAATTTATTCACACGCCATCTATGGGATTTGCATACTTTCTTGATCCACGAAATCATGGTGGCAGAAATATGTATACTGAGTCTCCTCCATCTAGCAAAAGTGATCTTGTTATAGTACTTGAGTTGCTTCCAAAGTACATAGTTGAAACAAGAGGACTTTGCAATTATGAAATTTCAAAAAAAGAAATAAAATCATTTCAGAGGCTATGTGCAAATCCGACTCCAGATTTTGCAACTCAGATTAAATTAATGGATCCTGATATCTGGTGGGGAGTTGAGGGTGCAAGTAAATTTCCAAATTTAGCAAAGGTTGCACAAATAGTCTTTACTATTCCAACTTCTCAAGCTGCAAGTGAGCGAATATGGAGTTTGTATGATTTTATTCATTCAAAGCGAAGAAACCGACTTGCAAAAGATAAAGCAATTGGATTGGTTCTTATGTATGCAAATGCAACACTCCACGAAAAAGAAGCAAATATTGCTGATATAATGCTTGGCAATACTAGTGATCACGATGAGAGTGATGAAAGTGATGAGGATGGTGTTAATGTTGATTTCACTTTAGAGACTTCAGTTGATAAAAGTGATTTATTGTCACAGTTGGCTAATTAAATGCTTTATTTAATTACTAAGAAGTTTTAAAAATCTTTATATTACATCGACAAATCTTTAGATCATCGAAAAATATTAGTCAAATTTTGTTTAAATGAAAATAAAAATGTTTTTGTTTACTTTAGTATTTATTTATTTTTCCACCTGATTATGTTTATTTTGCTGTCTCAAAGGCATTCTAAAAAAGTAGAGAGCAGACAAAGTCCAGATGGCCAACAAATCTATAACAAGGTTAGGGCCCCAGAGTGCAAAAACTGCAAAAAATTGAACAAGGGAGGAGTTTTGTGTCATGTGATAAGTTTCTGCTGTTTCTATTCTTCTAAAATTATTTGAAAACACCAGAACTTATTTTTAAATACTTGTTCTAGTAAGTGGTGGATTTTGATCAACGCTTTTTATTTAATTACTTAAGTTATTAGTTTTAAAAATCTTTAAATATATTTTTGTTCTTACTTTAAATCAGTTAAATATCAAATCCAATAAAAACATTCAACCTAATGCTAATTTGAATATTTATCTAAGGACGGGGTTGGGAAATTAAAAAAAGTTGTCTGGTCCCCTCGCGACTGAACAAATAACATTTTTTAACTTCTCTTATAGTTTCGCTAACAAATTTATTAAGTAAAAAAAGTTGTTTATTGCAATGACGTCATTGGTATACTTAACAGTATACTTTACGGTATACTATACAGTAAACGGTATACTAAAATTTTAGTATACCGTAAACTAGCGATCCCTAGTTTGGACATGATACGTTTATAAAATCGTTAGATGATAGAATATTCTGACGTTTGAAGTTTTATGTAAATTAATAACCGGAATATAACAAAATAAGTGTTTGTATTGAATTTTAAATACTTTTTAACACAAACAATTTTTTTTTATTTACTGCTTGCCCAATCCGAAACCATTATTTGATGCATGCACACACCCTGCATGTTCTACCTATTTAGTCAGTTGATGTATGTACATTTCCTGCATGTTCCACATGTTTAAGTCAGTCTACGTGTACACACTTCCTAATTTTTATAATAAATAAAATTTTATATACAATATATCTTTTTATTAACAACAATGATATATATTAGGTATAAAACTAGAACTAAATACTTTAAAATATAACATAAAAGTCTAATATCAATCCCGGGATTCCCTATACGATCGACCAAAACATAGGGAAATCAAAAAAAATATATAAATAATATCAATTTACGCGCGTTAATAAAATAGTTTTTATCTAGTTTAATATTTCAGAAAGTAATTATATTTTCAGTATTCTGTTCTGTAATTTTGCAAAATAAATTTTTTTAAACTGAAAAAAAAAACACGCCTTTCTTGCAAGGATTACTCTTAAAACTAAAACTTAGCTGTTACTTTTAATTGTAAAAATATTTCCTAGGAGAAGAAAAAGGGCAAACAGTGATGTGCAAACTACCAAACTGCAAGAAGATTTTAAAAATCTGTGGTAGTTCAACAAAAGGACTATATATATACATGTTGTCGGTGCATAATGTGAAGGTCGAAAGTCCAACCCAACCTAATATTAACGGAGAAAGCACATCTGATAAACCACAAAAAAGGAAATCTAAACCACTAACAGAAAACTTTTCGATTTTTAAAAATGAAGATAAAACACTTCACGCTACACTTGCTCGTCTAACGGCGTCTGACGGGCTTTCATTTAATGAGATTTGTCCTTCAATAGATTTACGTGCCGCTCTAACTGCTATGGGATTCAGAAATCTACCAATGTCAGTAGACACAATTTGTAATCATGTAGTAGAGTACAGCAAAAAAGTAAGGTTAAGTTTAGTTCAGCAAATTAATGCGCTCAAAATTACAGAATTCGGGGTAGGAGAGAAACTTTCTTTGTCTTTTGACGAATGGACGTCACTTCGATATTGTCGCTATATGAATGTTAACGTTTATGGAAAAAATTCTCAGTTTTGGAGTTTAAGTTTAGTGCGAATAACAGGGTCAATGCTAGCAGAAAAGTGCATTGAACTATTAAAAAAAAAACTTAAAGACCATTGTCTTGATATACACGGCGACATTGTGGCTATAATGACCGACGGAGCTAGAGTTATGAAAAAAGCTGGAGGGTTGGTGGCTGCAAATCAACAATTATAATTTGCCCACGGCATACAACTTGTTGTAATTGATGTTCTTTATAAAAAAGAGAACTCGATTCAAATCAGCCAGTATTTGACAGTGATTCATCCGGGAATGAGGATATTGAGGAAGATTTACTGGGCTGCAATCATGAAACTTTAAGATCTAAAATATAATAGGTTAAAAATTATAAAGTACTGTAAATAGGTTAAAAATTATAAGCTGACATTGCTTATAATTTTTAACCTATTTACAGCTGACATTAACCTTTTTACAGCTGACATACCGCTGACATACACATCTAACCTATTTACAGCTGACATACCGCTGACATGCACACCTAACCTATTTACAGCTGACATACTGCTGACATACACACCTAACCTATTTACAGCTGACATTGCTATTAAATTTATGCTTACGAAATTTAAAGATGCTGACAATAACACAAGCAAGGAGATGCGTAACAGGTTAAGCGATGAAACATTGGACGCGTTGTGCTTCCTGAAGTTACATTTCAAAGTACATGAAACATGATATATTTCATTATTTCTAATGAAATTTTTTAACATTAATTAACATGTTTTTCCTTGATGCATGTAACGATGTAATGCAAACAGCATCATTTATAAAATATATTTTTGTTTAAGAGTGTACTGTTTTTAATCTACTTAATACTATATCTGTTTTTCAATCCCATGGATTCCGGAAGGTATGTTTCTCAATCCCGGAATCCAGGGATTGAGAAAGACCTCCGGGATTGCAAACCCTACGCTTCACATATGTCTTTAAACTAAATTATAAATATATACTTTGCTTTTTACGCTGCGCAATTATTAAAAACAATGATTTATTATTGGGTCATTAATTTATACAAAACTTCAAACGTCGGAATAGGTTTTTGATTCTATCATCTACCTATAAAATCATGATAATTTTAAATAAAAGAATTCGAATGTAAACCGCCTTAAATACACCGAGTAGCGCTAAACGCAAAAATCAAATAATACAAATTAAATCAACAAATTGTAGAGATTATTTAGTAAAGAGATATTTATTAGTTGTTTTTTTTATATATATTATTTTATTATTAATAAAAACATGATGTCCCACCTTTGATCATCAAGTGACATCACATGCTTATAACTATTACAATTATTTTTACTGTTTACTTATTATTATTACTATTATTTTTTATTTACTGTTAATTTATTGTTACTATTATTTATTTATTATTACTATTAACTTTAAGTTATTATTATAATGACAGTACAAAAATCACCTAATGTTAACGCGTCACATTGAAAAAAACAAGTACAGATTGTGTTAATGTCATAGGAAATTTCATTCCACCTGTTTTTATATTTTTGAAAGCAAGGTTTCATGACATCACGATTATAGAAGAACCATCCGGTTTTGTTGGTTATGCAAACAGTCCAACTAGTGGCTGGATAATGGAGCCAACTAGTCAAATACTCAAAAGAAAATCCAGTTTTAATTTTAATGGGCTATAATGAAAGCTATTGTATATTAGATGCTATCAATTTTTGTTTTTAAAACGGAATAGTAGTTCATTACATTTTCTTCAAACTGCACCCATTGTAGTAACCTTTTTTTTTAACTATGTAGGCGCTCCAAGTAGTTCTTACGGTCTTATCACCGAGCGCTGCGGAAACAGCATTTAACCGTCGATTAATCCAGTTCTCAAGCCAAAACTCTACTACACCACGGTTGCTAGAAAACATTTTTAAAAATTACTAAACAACATTAGGACGTGGCCGAAAACGATCTTTACAAGAAAAGGTTATCTATGTGTTACAATGAATGGCTTTTATGCCGGGGTAAACAATAAAAATATACGAAGTAGTTGACATACTGATACAAGCATATACAACAACATATATTACCAGAAAAATTCTGGCTGGTTTTTCTCCACCTGAAATATATCCTTTTTCACAAATATTTTTCTGTAACAATGACTTCTTATGTACCGAAAATCTAAGATTCTCACAGACACTTTAGAAAGAAAAAAAATGTGAATTACTTATCTTTTACACAAAACTAATCTTATAAACTAAGAGATTTTTAACACAAGAAACTTTTCTTGTGTTAAAAAAAAAAAGAAAGCCAAAATATTAATCTAAAACAAAAAATACTATGTAAACATTACTCTAAGTTTTTTTATTTTTATATAGTAATAATTACTTTATACCCTATTTATAATGATGATAAAACATGTTTTATTTTAAAAGCGTATTAATTTGTTTTTGTAAAAAGCTGTGAAGCAACAATAAAACAATACTGCGTTTTGTCAATATAAAAAGCTCGTGATAAAACAACCTTGCAATGTTGCTAGAAATGTTGTTGTTTTATTGCTGTTATAACATTATAAAAGTATAACACTTTTAAGTTAAACGTGTTTCATCTCCAGTGTGAACGGGTAATTATTATACTATATATTATTATATTATTTTAACAAAGTTTACACACAAACACATATATATTATAATGCTTAACTCAAAAGTCTTTGCTTTTTGATAAGTTGTTTAAACTTTTTTTTTGCTTTTATCTATAAATGTTTTAATAGTTTTGTATAAGATCTTCATTTTAAAAATAAAAATTAAAAGCTTTAGTTTTTCCGATAGCATAGTGATGATTTAAAACTTCCTCAGCTACTCCAAGCTACTTCAGCGACTCTAGATGCAGCTTCGAAACTTTTATGCACATTAAAAAAGTAAGAGATTTTATCTTTTTTTTTACTTTAAGGTTCATAAAAACAGTTTCATTCTTTAACCATTAATTTGACAATTCAAAATTCAGAGGTTAAAACTTAATATAATTTAGATTTATAAAAAAGCTTAAATAAATGTTCATATTATTCAACTTTAATGTCATAAACAAAACTTGTGCTAAAAGTTTTTTCGCCCACGGAGTTACATTTGTTGTTTGGACAGTTGTTGCTTGGACGGAGTTACATTGTTGTTTGGAAAGTTGTTGTTTGGACGGAGATACATTTGTTGTTTGGAGTGGTAAATTAATTCATCTGAAAACATTGATTTTTTTTCAGTGTAGATGATTGGTTAGCTACACTGAAAATTTCAATTCAGCTGTTTTATTGGGATTATTTTTGTTTAAAAGCTGTATAAAGTTTTTATTTATTTATTTGTCATATATAAGCATTTTACAACGCTTATTTACAAGCTTCAAAATAAAATATAAAATAAAAAAAAATGACAAGAGCAAGTAGAAGACAGTAGTCTTATCATCAAGCCCCTATAGTAAACGTGCTTTTTTTTTTTCTTTCACAAGTTCACTTTATATAAATATATACTTTTTTATATTAAAAAACAATATAAAATAACAACAATAGAATAAATAGATAAAAAAAATAAAAAATAAAAGAACCTTAATAAAACAAGATTTTGTAGTATAATAAGAATTAATAAAAGAAGATCTCAAAACCAAAATAATATAAACTTTTTTTTTTTTTTTTTTTCTGTTAAAAGTACAAAAATATATTTGTGTTTGGCAAGTCAAGCAAATGCATTTTAACAACATTTTTAAAAGAATTTATTGAGGTTTTACTTTTCATTTTTTCATCAAGAACTGTATTCCATAAAAAAGGTCCTCAATATAAAATTAAATAATCAGTTTTTTTAAGATTAGACAGGTAAAATAAAGTTGTAAACGGAGCATCTCATTAAGTATTTATGGTTAATTTTTGAAATGCGATTATTAAAAAATTTGGTAGCATGTTATTTTGATATTTAAACATAAATAATAAATTTTGGAAAAGGTTTAACTCATAGACATTAAGTACATTTATTTCTTGGAATAACGGCTTAGCGTGGACGTATTTATGCACATTACATATAATTCTGAGTGCTTGTTTTTGTTTGATATATATATATATATATATATATATATATATATATATATATATATATATATATATATATATATATATATATATATATATATATTTTAATGCTGAAGAACTTGCCATATTATATAGCAATATTATAATAGCTAATGTAACTGTGGATGAATGAGTAATATATATCTTTTAAACATTTTTTACTAAGTAGATGTTTTATTTTATGCATAATGCCTTTTGTTTTAGAAATTTTATTTTCAATGAGCATAATATGTAAATTGAAATCACTGAAGAAACTGAAATCACTGAAGAAATTGAAATCACTGAAGAAAATGAAATCACTGAAGAATACCTCTCTAGAAATATTAACTTAATTCAATTTATTGAATTCGTTTATTGTTTTTTTTAGAGATAATGTCAAACAATTTTAAATTGTAATCAAGTTTTAACAACAGTTTAGATTCCTATTTAAATTTTTTTGTCTCACTCACATCAATAGTAAAAACTGTTTATTATCACTAAGACTGGCGCGAAGGGGCGTGCAGATGTGTGCGACACCCCAATTTAATAAATATTACCACCATTAGTTGCTCAGCGGGTATTTGTTTTTAAAAGTTACGTTCTAAATGTATTTTAAATGTCTTTTAAACGTCTTCTAAACGTTCTTACGTAATGAAAGTTTAAAAGATGTTTAAAAGACATTTAAAACGTAACTTTCAAAAACAAATGTCCGAAGGATAGCATATTGAGACCTTTTTGTACCTTCAGTTGGCATGTTGGAACCTTTTTAGATAAAGACAACAAAATGGGACCTAGAGTATTTATCTCTTGTCGGTAAAGTGGGGAATTTGAGGACCTTTTTATTTTAATAGGAAAAACTCGTAAAGCAACCACCCCTTTCCCCACCAACTCACTTACTTGGCTTCTGCCTAAACCTGTTTGAATATTAAGTAAACAAATAATTAAAAAAATTTTAACAACATGTTAACTATACTTTGTTTGAATTATAATATTTTTTGGAATTAACAAGTCTCAAAAAACGTTTTTCACGGTTAACAAAAAGAAATTATAGTTTGAAAAAAAAAACTTTATTTTTGTTTAAAAAAAATGGGTCCCTAGAATGGTTCAGTTTTTACAAAGCACAAACTTTGATTAAAAGCTCTTTTTTGCTTGGAATCATAAAGTCATATCATAAAACATGGTTTTAAAAAAAGTTTTTTCTTGTTTCGGAAGTCAAACTCCACAAAACATCCAGCAAAAACCGACAAAAGTTTCTCCGAGACTTTGTCAAAATTATTATTCATTACTTGATCTTGAAAAGTCAAAATCATTAAATGATTCTAAATTTTAAAAAAGTTAAATTCAGACATTTCTTTGACATTTCTTTGACGAAGTCATCAAGTCAGACATTTCTTTGACGATATCATCAAGTCAAACATTTCTTTGACGAAATCATCAAGTCAGACATTTCTTCGACAAAGTCATCAAGTCAGACATTTCTTTGACGAAATCATCAAGTCAGACATTTCTTCGACGAAATCATCAAGTCAGACATTTCTTTGACGAAAGCATCAAGTCAGACATTCTTTTGACGAAGTTATCAAATCAGACATTTCTTTGACGATATCATCAAGTCAGACGTTTCTTTCACATTTCTTTAACGAAGTCATCAAGTCAGACATTTCTTTGACATTTATGAAAAGTCATTCAATAATCCTAATTTTGACAAAGTCTTTCAAAGAATTTGTCTAAATCAGGTAAATAGTCATTAATATGTCGTGATTTTACTAAGTAATTTTTTCGAAAAAGTAAAAAGAAAGAAGAGAAAGAAGAGAAAAACGAAAAGAAAGAAGAGAAAAACTAACAGCTTTTTGATAGTTTTTATTTTTAAAACTGTTGGTGCTTATATAAATATTTAAAAAAAAATTTCTATATGTCAAAGCTCTATATGTTGAGATATTTCTATATTATTGTCAAAGTTCTTATAATGCTGTTACCTCAAATAATGCAACTTTAACATTTTCAGTATAAATCATACTACTGTTTTAGTAACCCAATATAGAGGATAACATTAGTAATTGCACTCCAGCAACAAAAACAGTGCTCTACCAATAATGTTACATAAATAATTACATTTTTTCTTATCAGTTTATGGCTGCAATATCATTAGTAAACACGCAGAAATATTGCATAATAAATTTTTAACACACATGATATATTTTAAAAAGATGTGGTCCCGTTTTATATTATTCAAACTCCAAATTTGGTAAATAATATAGCAACGAAAGTAAATACATAGTCATCTAGTAAATTAATATGTTTGTACAGCCAATGATTAACAAAATATGTAAAACAATCATTGTTATTCTTGCAATCATTTCTTTTTTTAAATACAATTTTACAATATCAGCAGTTTAATGAAAGAAATATTGAAAATTTTGATTTGCGTAAAGCTGAGCTATATATTCCAACAACGCTGAGTAAAAGTGTTCACATTTAATTATATCTAACTTTAAAACCGTGGTTTTTCTTTTTCGCCGATTCTATAAAGTGTTTACTTCTGATAATGTTTAATTGGGTTAAAGATTACTAACATCTGTCTAATAACATCTGTGGAGTAGTCCAAGATCATCTGTACCTTTTGGTCCAAGATCATCTGTATTTTTCTTTTACTCTGATAACATTTTTCCAATATCATCTGAAAAATTTAACGACCCTAATGACATCTTTAGAAAGATGTAGCTACATCTGGTAATTTTTCTGCAAGTCCATTAACATCTTGAAGAATTTTCTCTCGATGTAGTTACATCTGAAAAAAATTCTATATGCAATAACATCTGGTTAAAATAATGCATTACTAGTTTATTCATCTTAAAAATAACTTAAAATCTACAGATGTAATTGCACAGATGTTATTACACTTTGATAATTTAAAAGATGTAACTACATCTGTAATATTCATTTATTTTTTGCACAGATGTTATTAAACATCAATTAATTTTCAGATGTTGTTAGACAGATGTTATTATACCTCATTATATTTACAGATGTTGTTGGACAGATATTGTTAAACATACCAAAAACTGATGTTGATACCCAGACCCTTTAATTGTTTGTTATTAAATTTTTAAAGAAGTTTAACTCTTTATTAAAAGAATCAAAAATATAAATTGCGACGTTAGAATTATCTTGTTTTATCGACGTTAGAATTATCTTGTTCTATCTCCACATTATTGCGACGTTAGAATTATCTTGTTCTATCGACGTTAGAATTATCTTGTTCTTTCGACGTTAGAATTATCTTGTTTTATCGACGTTAGAATTATCTTGTTCTATCTCCACATTATTGAGTTTTGAGATAAAATGATTTAAAAAAACAAAAAATTTCAGAAGGCTACATATAAAAACATTTTTATAGCTTAAGTTTTCTCCGCAAACTTTTTATTTATAACTTAGGGTTAAATATAATAGAAAAAAACTTTGTTCTGAGGTACATAACACAATCTATAACTCAATTTTTTTTCAAAAGTGGATAATTTTAACGTTGATATGATAACAAGGTAATTGTAACGTCGCAATTAAGTCAACCATTATTTATGAAATTTCTTGAAACCATTATAAACCTCAAGCATTCAAATATCTATTAAAAAATAAATACCAATTAAAAAACTAAAATAAGAATTGAACTTTAATGACATATCGCAATTTTTTTGATTATTTTCAACTAAACTGCTTTTGATTAAAAATGAATTTTATAGTATATCTACCTGCTCGTTTAATGTACCAAAAAACTTAAAAGTTGTAATTGAATACTTTTAAAGAATAAAATCATCTGTATAATCATATGTTTTATTTAAAAAATAATTAAATGCTTATAAAATATTTGTTTTATAAAATAATTAAATGTTTATAAAATTATTAAAATATTTGTTTTTGAAAAAAGAATATTTTTTCGCTTTTGGCACCGCTAAGCTATAATTTAAAAATATTTTAAAAAGTAAATATTTTTATAACTTTACAAACATTTGATGATTTTAAATGTTTATAAAACTATTTAAATAGATTTTAAATTTAAATTTAAAATCTATTTAAATAGTTTTATAAACATTTAAAATCATCAAATGTTTATAAATGTATAAACATTTGTGTATAAATATTTATATTGCTTTTACTAAAAGTGATATAAATTATAGTAACTTATAAATGTAAAAATTTAATAAATTATATAATACTTTATATAAAGCATATTATTAAATAACAAAAATTGATTTTTAAAATCACCATGTTTACAAAGTTTTGTTCAAAAATTCACTATATTATTTCATATGGCTGAAAATTCTTCAGAGAAAAGGTTTTGTTAAACAATTAGTTGTAAACAATAAATAACCTTGAATGAATGATTGTTGAACGACTGTCCGAACTTATTAAAAAAAACAAAAAAAATTTATTTAAAAGTAAAAAAACAACAGTTTTTTTAAAATGATCATAACTTTAAAATAACCAATGTATATAATTAATTTCCAACGTGAAGTCCGCATAAAGTTAAAAGGGTTTAGAATTTTTGTTAGGGAAATATATTTCGTTAGTTATAAAGGTGCACCGCGAAGAAACATTAAACCAGGAAGTTTACGTCTCTTTTTTTTACCGAAGCCACTTACTGGGCTAGAGCCATCATCAAACCTCAAACCATTTGGTTCTGAGCCAGGTTACCAACACGGCTGCTAACATAAGTTTTTTTAAAAAACCACGAAAAATACAAAAAATAGAGCTTTTCCGGGTAAGTATGATTTGTAAGCGCTGCATCTATTATTTTTTTATAATGTGGGTTTTTGAAATTTATATACTTTAAAGGAATAAACTTTCTAAATATAGCTAAAGTAGTTTTTGTACAATCTAAAAAGTCAAATAAGAATTTTTGATGTGTGCAAGTGGTAAGTCATTTTTAAAGCCACTGAATTTCACCAACTTGAAATTATAAATATAGTTTCAAAAAAACTTTAAAATTATTTGGGCAAAAAAAAAAAAAAATTAGAAAAGTAGATATAAAACAAAAACCTGCAATTTTTTTAACATTCAATGTTTTCAAAACTACATGTTTTTGAAAAATTATGTTTTATTATGTTTATAATAACTTTTCTCAAAATGAATATAATAATAGTTCTTGTTATGTTTGACATTCTTCTTTTAAGACTGTATTACAAATATTATGGCATCTTCTAAAACAAATCATTTGACAAGATTCAGAGCGAACCATTCTGCATGTTGGCTGGTATCCTCCTCTTGAGCCATATCTATTTTGTTTACTTTTTTCTACTGAAGTAGCGAATCGACTTTTAGTTAATACTGTTATAACCAGTAACATGACCAAGATGCGATCTGCGCCGTTCATTTTCCTTTTAATTTTGATTAAAATTTATTACATTCAACAGAATTTTAAATTCGGTTTGCAACAAATACGATCAATTATTTATATTTAATTGCAATGATTAGTAGACAACAATTAAATGACTTTTGACAATTAAATGACTTAATGAACTTTGTTATTAAACAGTCATTTGAAAGTAAAAACAATAAACATGACGCTCGAAAATGAATTTTGAAGTCACCGTAATTGTTAACAACATAGTAATATTGTTTTCCTTAAATATACTATTAAAAAATAATATCTATCTTAACAATGCAAAAAGTTTAAAAGTTATTCTTAAGCGTCATTTTAACTGCCAAGATATAACTATTTTTTTCATAACCAATCTTACATCTCGTCTGTCTAACGTCTGCTATTTCGATTAAAATACGTTGAAAGTTATAAAAAAAAAAATTTTAATATTAAAATTCAATGAAATGATCACAAGGCTTAAAATGAAAAAAGGTTAATCATGCCACAAAAATTTAATAACTCTTGTCATTTTACTCGGCATTTTCACCATTATTTATGATAAAAAACCAAAATGAGTTTCTTTTTCGTTAGAATATTTTATGTATATATATATATATATATATATATATATATATATATATATATATATATATATATATATATATATATATATATATGTGTGTGTGTGTGTGTGTGTGTGTGTGTGTGTGTGTGTGTGTGTGTGTGTGTGTGTGTGTGTGTGTGTGTGTGTGTGTGTGTGTGTGTGTGTGTGTGTGTGTGTGTGTGTGTGTGTGTGTGTATATATATATGTATATACATATATGTGAAATAAATTAAAAATTTACCAACGTTTTAATATTGTACTACCATTTGATTGAAAATCTAATTGTTTACAAATATCAATAATTTATATCTGATAATATTAGGCCGGGTGAATAATAATTAGTAACTGCTTTTACTCAGTAATTGGTCAGCTTTACGCGAACAAAAACTTGAAGAATTTTTATTAAGTTTTTATTTACGGAAATCTGAGCAATTATTGAGTAAGCTGCTTAACTTTACGTGAATAAAAATTTGAGCAAAACTGCCAAGGTTTTTATTAACGTAAAGCTGACCAATTACTGAGTTAAATCAATTGCTCATTTTTATTCACCCGGTCTAATTTAATAGTAGTAGTTAATAGTCGACTTACGTCATTTTCTAGGCTTTTTTATTTTAAAGTAGTTTCTAGGCTTTTCTATACGCGGTTTTTTTTTTTAATTATATTTACTAACAACCCGTATTACGGGTTGCTTACTGCTAGTATAAATTTAACAATCGTTATTCGATAAAGCAAACACATAAAGTCATTTGTCATTTTTTAAAATACAATTTTCATTATTATCGAAGATCTCTTCAACAACTCATGGGAAGATAATGAGTTATTGAATTTATATTATAGATACAGAATAAAATTTTGATTAGTTTGTTTATTATTTGATGAGGTATTAACTGTTCTATAATATAACTTGCTGAGATCTATTACTATATAAATGCATAGTTTATTAAGAAAAAAATCAATGGTCTTTACACATATTTTTAAGGGAGGAGGGGGTACAAAAACTCATATCATATATAAGGGGGAGTCGGCCAAAAATTGACTGAGTTTGACAAAGGGGGAGGGGGTTGAAAAATTGAGAAAAATTATTGACATCATTTATGGACAGCCCCAGTAGAATTATACTTTTTCAATTTGCATTCAATTTTAATAATGCAACGCAGTGATATTTTTGTTCGGAAAATAATTTTAGTTTTAGTTTTTATTCAGTTTAGAGGCAAAGTTTTTAGTTCTAGTTCTTATTCAGTTCAGTAAATAAATTTAGTTCTAGTTTTTATTCAGTTCATCTTAAAATAATTTTAGTTTTAGTTTTTATTTAGTTCAATTTTCGTTTGTCGTATAAATTTTTTATCTCATCTAATTATAATTTAGTATAATTTATAAATAATATAGGCATATATAATTAAAAAAAGTAAGTCTTAGTTCTATAAACAAACAAAAAAATGAGAACTTAATTAAATGTAATACACCCAGTCCCATGGCTAGAAGTTTAGAGCCCCGCCCACCGCCCTTAATAAAAAACACAACAACAACCTGTCCTTATTGCTCTAAAACTTAAAAAAATTTCAATTATTAGGTATAAAAAAAACTCCTCAAATTTGGTAACAATAAAAACTAATGAATATTTATTGTATAGACTTTAATAATTACTCATATATTTTACAAATAAAGGGCCTAGTGATTATATGATTATCATCTAGACTAGATGAGAATTTAGTTTTAAGAAAACTCGCATTTCCAATGACGCTGACATTCGATTTCTCCGTCCATTTGTGAGCAAGCCACAGATAGAAAAAAGTCTTTCAACATATGCTTGAGTTGCAGGAGCTGCAATGAGGTCTTCAGCTAATGGTGCAATATGTGGGTAAACAGCACGTCTCATCTTCCAGAAATTTAAAGCATTTTGGCACATAGAGCTGTTCCTTATTTCAATAAAATATTTGTTGAGTTCATTTTGTGCTTCATTATCTGGAATAAGCTTTATTTTTTCTACTCGCTGTTTTGCCGTTAAAAATTTCCATTTTGTTAATCCATTTATTTCTGGAGCAATCTCAACAGAGAGAGTAGATGCACTTGCTAAAGGTAAATCATGTTGCACCGATTTTTTAGCCTCTGACAAAATGTATTTCTTTGCACACTCTCTGATTTGTGTATGCTCATTACCTAAAAGAGCTATTGCACATGTGGGGTCAAGTAGACATGCGGCACATGGCAGTGGATTAAAATTAGGATCGTTTGGCTGCAAAAGAACGGCAAAACGACGGCGTAGATCTTCAAGCATTTTAACTGCTACATCTTTGGCATCTCCAAATTGCGCAGGGTGACATTCTAAATTAAGTATTGAAGGTATAACACTGGATAGTGAAAGTGCATCCGTCTGAAGAATATCAGTTTCATTGGCAAAAGGTTCTAAAAGACTGACAAAATCCTGAAGCATTATCCATTTGCTATTGGCAAGTGAATCAATGTTAAGGTCTCCAAGCACTTCGTTGATAGATGTCTTTATTTCCAGAAATCTCCGAACCATAAAGTAAGTGCTGTTCCATCTTGTAGAACAGTCGCTGATCACAGTCTTACCACATTTGTTGATAATTTTTTCCAATGCAACAGAAGATTTGCGAACTTTTCCCACTAATCCACGTACCTTCAAAAGTAAGCCATGATATTTACCATCATATGCAAGTTTTACAACTAGCTGTATAACATGTGCAATGCATCCCAATCTTCTAAATGCTACGTTTTCTATTACATCAACTATCAAGTCAACATGTTCCCACTCTTCACTATTTGTCATATTCTCATCGTCTTCCAGATCTGTTATCTGCTCTTCATTAACCTCACTTTCTAATTCAATAAGTATATCACGTTCAGCTTGAGCTTTCATTCTCGACAACTTTATGCCTTTGACCATGTTTGCTCCATTGTCCGAAATAACAAGCAATATTTTTTCTCTGGAAATATTCCAATATTTTAGGCATTTTTCAAAACAATTAGCATTTGTTCACCTGTATGTGGATGTTTCACAAGATACAAATTAAGCAGAGCATGTATTGGTTTTTCGAATTTGAAGTGAAAAAAACAAACCAAAATTCCAAAAAAAGGACGCAGTAAGACCTTTTTTAGTCCAGCCATCAAGGCATATTGTGAAGCGCCTGCCTTCAGATATGAAGTCACGAAGTTTTCTCGTTAAAACAGTAAATTCTTCATTAAGTAGGCTAGTAATTTTGGCAGAAGCAGGCAATGAAAATTTATAATCCAAGGTATTAACTAACTTTCTAAAACTCGCATTATCCACCAATGTCACTGGATTACATGTTGCAATTATCATTTGAATAAGAGAGTTTAGTCGAATTTTATGCTCGTGTGAATTAATAGGCCGATTTGTGAATTAATAGCCAAATTGAGGACGATTCTAAAAGAGTGGGTCCATTTTCATCCACTGCTTTTCTCTTTATCCCTGTTTGCTTTTTTTCACTTAATTTCTTTAATTCCGACTCTTCCAGCTCAACGTGTACAGACTTATGGTTTCTTGCTAAATGTAGCTAGAAAAAAATAAACATATTTATATAATTTTTTGTTTGTATATTTATATGTTTATTTATCTATCTGTTTATCAATTAATGTATAAATAAGTTCGTATACGTTATTGAATAATTACTCTAAAATGATAAAAATGAGTCGTTTGTTTCAAAATGAAAACATATCCTCTAACAGATAAACTAACTTTAAGATTTGTTGGGTTCTTTCCACACAACTTTGTATACTTTGCATACTTTGCATACTTTTTCACCATCAAGTAAAACTAAACATACTGATTTGTCGGATGACGCATCGTATTTAAACCATTTCCATACTGAACTATTCCTCTTCCTACCAGCAAAAAGTTTACTCAAACTCATCGCGTAGTTGTGTTGGTCTTACAGTTTGATTTTTTTTTAGTTCGAAAAAATATATTCGAATAAATATATTCGAACTATATCATAACTAAACTTATTCGAACTTAATTGAATAAAATTCAATTAAGTTCGAATAATATATCATTATAATGTATTGTAATATAATAATTATATATAACAAATAATTCAACTCGTTTCAAATCTAGAACGAAAATATTTCATTTTAAAATAATTTTCGATTCAGTTTTTATTCCGTTCGAAAATTTAAAATTATCGTTTTTATTCTGTTCTCGTTCTTAAAATAAATTTCGTTTTAGTTTTCGTTTTCGTAAACGAAAGGCTTTTTTTTCGTTCTCGTTTTCGTTCTCGTGTACGAAAATATCACTGATGCAACGACATATCGAAATCATTTCAACACCAAAGATGTGCCTAGCCGAACCGCAATGAATTTTTTAATTTTACGGTTTCAACAACAAGTTTAGAATCAGACTAGCCATGATCAGGAAGAGTGCAGAATCAAGTGAATATTAATCGTGTACGGACATATAGAAGAAAATTTACGCGAAGACGATCTGAATAGCTGAGCATGTCTAAAGCATCACTTTGATGGGTTTTTATCTAGGCATTTACCCATACATCTATACAAAGTCCAATTGGCCCAACAATTTTTACGAGTTGACTATCAGCAACAAATAATTTGGGCAACGAGCTTACTAGCTTACTTCTCTTATAACTTACTGGAGTTGTGCAAAGAAAATAACGAGTTTCTTAACCATTTAATTATGAATGATGTTTAATGTAGTTCAAACCCCAGAGTTGTTTACCAGCGCCAACTGTACTTACTCAAGTGTAAAGTATGGTGTGGAGTGACATCACAAAAAGTTACAGGGCCCTACTTCTTTAAGAATGAAATTGGTCATGCAGTGACCGTGAACAGGTATAATGCTTTGATTAATTATTTTGTAGATAATTAATCAAAGCATTATACCTGTTCACGGTATAATGCTTTAATTAATTATCTAAGATAGCGCAACTGCACACGTGATTTGTGCTACCATGAATCTTCTAAGGGAATTTGATTCGATCAACCAGCACGTTTAACTGAGTCTGATTAGTTTCTATGGGGTTATCTCAAATAACGAGTATATGTGAACAAGCCTCAAACTACAGAGCATCTAAAGCACAACATTGAAGTTGATATTGGAGCAATAGAGCCTGGTTGTTATGCAAAACATAGGTTTAAAAGCTTAATTGTGCGTTGATGAAAATGATAGTCATCTATCTGACATTATTCCTCATAAGGAAAATTTAAATCTTGCAAAGTTCATATTATTTATTTTTTTAAAATTTAAAAAGAAAAATGATAATAAACTAAAGTTTTAAAAGACATCTTTAAAGAGTTTAAATTATATAACTAAATAAAAAATTCTACTATGAATGTAACTCTTTAATTTTATTTTTATTTTTTAAAATAAAAACAGTTATATCCATAGTAGAAGTTTTTATTTAATCAATAAAGTAAAGAGATATTAATAAATAATAAGTATTAAAAATACTTATAAAGTATTCGTACCTTAAATACCAAAAGTGCTAAAGTTCTTCCGCAAGCAATGATAAACAATTTAATTATGAAACATAAACAATATTTCATGAGAACAATTGCTCAAAACTGAGGTCAGCCGAATCACACAAGTATCCAATGCTGTAAAGAATATTACTAAAGTTTCATTGAGAACACCAGAGGAGACCCGATCGAATTCTACATATGATGTCATAAGTTAAATTTTGGAAAGAAGACTAAAAGAAAAGTTCCCCCAAATTAAAAATGCTTTAAGTAGCGCCGTTTCAAAGCATTTTTCATTTGCAAAGATGCTCTTAACAAACCTCGAGGGGAAGTTAAATATTTTATGGGGTTTTTCAAGTTTTTTCAAGCCAACGGTTTAGCAAGTTTTTAAGAAACTTATGATGCTTATTCTAAATAGTATACATTTAATAATAAGAAGAAAAGATATACATTTAATTATAAGAAAAAAAGTTATAATAATAATAAAGATTTAATTAGAAACATTTTAAACTTTAGGTGCTTTAAAACATTTTCAAGAATTGAAAAAGTATTTTATACTTTTAGAACTTTGATATTAAGTATTTTGTATATGGTATTTTTAAATACTTTTGCTTGAAAGTATTTTTGCTTGTTTTTTAAATAAGTATTTTTTAGAACAAATAAATATTTAATAAAGCTAGATTAAATTGCTGTTAGATCTATTTAAATTTTGGTAAATATAGTAAAATGTTATGCAAAATAAGTTGCAATAAAATAAATGCAAAATTATAAGAGCATTTGGTTTTTTTCTCCCCATTTTTTTAAAATAAATTCATACCATAAGTAGCTGTAAATCCAAAGCGAGTATTTCGGTTCCAAACACAACGCCCTAGTTTTTATATCAGTTTATTCATTATACACATGTAAATTCACTAAATTTAGCTTATTATTACAAATTTTATTGCAACTAACTTTTTTCAACTCAACATCTCTTTTACAGTATTTGTGGCTTTTTTGTTATTTTTTTTAATTTTCAGAAAACCCTTTATTTAACATTTGTATGTCCCATTATTTTAAACTCATTTCTTCGGATATTAATTAATTTCAGTTTTATTAAAAAAATAATTATTAGCTTATTTTTAATTAAAACTATGCGTTGAATAATAATTTTAATCATAAACGTTGCAATGCTAATTTTTGGAGCAAACTGCATAAATTTGTCTTTATATTTTAGTTCACTGAAATATGTTTACACAAGCACAGTTAATTATACCCAAATGAATATACAGGATAAGTTATTTAGTATTTAAAAATTGCTTTCCATTAACTTTCTTTAAATTTATACCTAAGCTAAAATGAAAGTTAAACACTGTTTAACTTTATGTTAAACACTCCCAATGAGGATCAATGCGTAACCCCACTGGGCTGTAGTAATAAAACTTAAACTTATAAATTTATTTTTTAAATGCAACTGCTACAGTATAAAAGCTTTGAGTTACTTTTTATTTTTAATAAGTTTTTATGAGATATTTTAGGCATTTTTTGGTATTTCTATCTTTCTAATTTGAAAAAAAAAGTAATTGGAACTTTCCATGTCCATATTGGTGAAATTTGTAAAGGTGAAGTTACAAAGCAACGTATATATTTATATCAACAATTTAAATATTTTATATAAAATAGAATTAAAAAATAATAAAGTGTGGGTGGGATGAGGAGGAAGGGAAAAGGAGAGGCGAAAATGAAAAAGTTTAAGATAATAATAAAAAAAAACTCTCAAAGAGAGACGTTTTTTAAAAAACATTGCATTTTTTGAAGCATTTCTACTTTTTTATAAATAATAATGACTTGTAAACTGAAAAATTATTACACTAATGTTACATTTTAAAAGTTCTAACTCAAGTTTTAATTCAACTTAAGCTTTTGTTTCCAAAGTAAATATGCTATGCTTGACATTCTTCCTTTACAACATTTTTGCAAATATCACGACAACGTCTGAAACAAATCCGTCGATATGATACAGAACTGACCCACTTGCATATTGGCTCGTATCCTAATCTTGAACTTACAGTTCAGTTCAAGTCGTTTTGCGTCAAATTTAATTTGGTTTATTCCATAACGACTGGTTGATGGCCGTCAAAAACCTCAAACTACAGGTATTCATTCGCTGTTTACTGATTGCCGCTTTCAAGCGATTGCATGCTTTCACACGATTAAAAATACTAAGTTAAATCCCGAGCAAAATTTTAAAAGTAGTATTCAAAAGAACCTATTTTTTTTTTGTTTTTTTACAAATTATTTGTATGAATTATGTTTATTGTTAACTACACTCTTAAACAAAATCAGGAATCCGCAACTGAAATTCAGGGAAAACTCACTGAATTAATCATTGCGTTTAGGCACAATTGATTTTCAGGCGTAATCGCCTGAATTTCAGCCAATTCTTTTTCTCTGGAAATCAGGGAAACCAAGCCTTCTGAAAATCAGGGATTTTGATGCACTGAAATTTAGGAATTCTATTACTGTATATTCAGGTAAAAACTTTCGTCAACTCGGGTTTTTTATACCGACATAATATATATTATATTGTCGGCATTTTTGTTGTGGATAAAATTGATTATGAAACAATCTCGTCCTAATCTTGTTAAGTAAAGTTTTTGGGCACGCCTATTTTAACATGGTTATGCTGTTGCGATTCAAAATCTATATTATACTATATTATTCAGGACATTTCACATTCATGACTGTATTTTATTACAGTTACTTAAATTTATGCTGATAGACCTCATTTTGATTTCATTAATCATGTTATTTAGTTATAATTTGCCGGTAGAGATGATTACAATAATTAAGTTAAAAAAAGTTATTATCATAATTACAAACATTACAGTTTTTAGTATATACTGCAAATAAAATAAAAAAGATTTTGTTGATGCGTGCATTTGAATAACAATTAATAAATTTTCTATATCACAATGTGTGCAGATGTTGCTTATTTAAAAGAGTGTCAAATATATTTAACGTGCTTTTAAAAAAGTAACAAGATCTCGTACACATTCTGAGATAGGAACATTATCTAAGATCCCATAAAAATGCACTTGCAAAAACTGCCAAACATGGCTAACACTTTGGTCGTACTCAATTTGACCGATGTAGTGTAGCTTGAAACACTTATCAACAGCAGATACCATACAACGCGATTCAATAACTTCGTTTTCGACAACAATAAAGGATTGGCTAATGTTGCCAGTTACACCCAATGCAATAATTATTGGTTGTTTAATACTGTCACTTTTAATTTTAGAAAGAATTTCGTCCATTGAAGTTCCATACTAATAAAAGGTAATATAAATATAGTTTACGCATTTTAAACAAATTAAACATAAAATTAAGACCTCCGCTAAAAAATTATACACAATATAATAAACGCAGCCATTGCTTACAGGATGAAGCTGGATAAATCGCTTGCAAACTTCAGCAACCGAGGCACGTTGCCGATTTCGCATAGGAACCGTTAACATAAGTGGAAGTAGTAATAGAGCGTATTCTTCTTTGGTATCTATAAAAATATTGCTAAATACATATATTACCATTAGATACACATATAAAAAGTTATTAAAACAATATAATTTTTAAAAACTTAATTAATAAGTTAATTCTAACTCATTTGGTGATAAGAAACTATTTTTATTTAAACATGAATAAATTAAACAAACCTTCAAGTAGGTTGTTGTTAGCTGCTATTTCGTCAAGTAATATTGTAAGATCGGTTGACAACCCTTTGCGTTTTCCTTTGGCATACAAAAGGATCCGTGAAAAACTCCCAGCCCATCCACTAACCGTTTGCTGTTGGGTGTACTTCTGCAAAATATAAAGATTAGTAAAACTAAACTAAAAAAATTTAAACTATTATCCCATTTCCCAAAATATGCAAATAAAAGTTTCAATTAGACTTATAACAATACTTACATAACCATCACCATTACCACTTCTTAAGGTTGGAAAGCGGTTTATCGCTTCTAGTGCTAAAGCCTTTTTTTTCTCTGTATTGGAATAGCTGCAACAACAACAACAACAAAAATTATGCTGTGTTTAATAACTTATCTACTTCCTCATTTAATTTTTGCAGTAAATCATTTATTTATAAATTTAAAATTAAATTAAAAATAAAATTAATTAAATTTAGTTTTATTAACTGATTTTACATACTAATACCAAAAAATGCAAGTTTCAAAATTAAAATATTAAAGGTTTCCTAACCAGTTACTATCTTTTACAAGATTTTTAACAATAATACGCACAAAAAGATCTTTCATCAAGACTAACTGCCCGGTTCGTTCATATTCGGATAAGATTGATGCACCTTTAGGGTGATCTTTCAACATAGAGTCAATGTCCTTAACAAAAATTAAAATTCACTTCTACAATATTACAAATAGTAAAATATACGTAATTTTATAAATAATTTCGAAAAGTTTTTAAAAGTTTCTAACAAAATTATAAATAAAATGCATTTATGATTAAATTGAACAACAAACATAACTCACAATAATATAAATCATCAACAATTGATCTTAAAACTGCATTAATGCCATACTTTTTTATGTCATTGACATATGTCAATGCAACTAAATGTACATTTGCTAAATTAGAATTAAAAATAGCTGGAAAATTTTTCAAAATAAAGTAGAATGCTCCAAGCTTGTGTATGGACGCTTTTGTTCCTATAGGATTTACTGCTTCCACATCATCATAATAAAGTTGAATAACAAGTTCGTGTGTAATAAAATAAACTGAAGGCAAGGGATGGCGATTTCGGTGTGCTTAGTAATTACTTCCATCTTGGTAGTCACACAAGATTCCACCTTCAGCTATAGTTTCGTTAAAAGTGGAGGCTGACCAACAATCTGAATGTCTAAAAATATACTTAAGGGTTTTGCTGATGGGTACAAACATAAAAGTGTCTTCTACTTGAACTTGCTTGCCCATCTTTGTTTCCCACCGATGTCCCAATACAATTTCAGAGGGATATTTAATGCACCAACCTTTTCTAGATATGTACTCAGCTTTTTCACAGTGTCAATATTCTGGAATGGATGTTTAAGAGCAGTAAGAAAAATTTCTGCAGTGTTTTTATTCTCTAAACTATTCATAGTGAATACTTCACTGACTTTATGTTGCACAGCACAAGCAAAAACAGAAAACATCTCATCCAAACCATTACGGATGTCATTTATATTGCTTAATGGAATAGCGGCAGACATTAGATTAAGAAGAAACCTGGCAGCTGGTAAAAATATTCCTCTATGGTCAAAACATTCAGCTATATCAAGAATTGGTTGTGCATCAGGAGCATCATTAAAATTATTAAAATCTTCTGGCATAAAGCTGTCTCGGGTATTAATATTGCTTTGTGGTAAATCAAATAATTGATTAGTAACAAAAGGCACTTTCTGAGCTTGCTTTTTAATATGAGAACGCACATGTTTTTGAAAACTATGAAAAGATGTAAATAATCTTTTGCATCTTTTTTGGCCACATATTAGTTCACATGGCTCCTCAAGTGCATGTATACCTTTCAAATGGCAAAGTAAAAAATTTATTGTAGGGAAATTGCGAGTACATTTAAAGCATATTAATTGCATTTTTATTGATTAATTTTATTAGTGAACCTGTAAACAGAAAAAATAGTTTTAGTTGAAAAATTACCTTAGAATATATAGCTAAAAATACACTCTTAATCTTTAAAAAATCTCCAAGCTTTGGAAACATTAACTTTAAATCTTCAATGGTAACCAGAACCATCGCATCAGCATCAATACCATTTTCTTAAAAAATATTAATTTAAAAAAATGGATTTAATTTTTTTTCTTATATAGACAAAATAGATAATTTAACATTTAATTCAAATATTATATTTTGAATATATAGAAACATACATTTAATTTTTTTTTGAATTTATTTCAACTTTAATTAGTGCTGTTAAATTTGCATCTAGTACTGAAGGTATTACAGTACTACAAGTAAATTAAAAATTAAGTTTATTTAAATTATTACTTCCAAATTTTATTAAAAAAAATAAATTACTAATCAAGTCTAATGTACAGAAAATTAACATAACTTCAAGAACCTGCATACTATTCTCTAACTTCTTGAGAGACAATTCTTCAAGAAACGCATGAAACAATTCAGAGGGTAATTGAGCCATACTCAATTGTCAAGTAAATCAAAAAAACTAATTTATATTAAGAAACCAGTGAATTAAACTTTATTTATCCATGGCCTACTTAAATTACACGGCCTGATTTGTTGCATTTTCCATAAAAAATAAAGAAGCCAGTTTTTTTACGCCATAAGTATAAAAACTTCATTTTTTTATGGTTAAAAGTCTTGTTTGCACTCTAATTGTTTTATTATAATTTTATTAAAATGGTTTAATGATAGTTAGATCTTCTTTGAGTACTTACATTATTTTGTGCTGCGTTTTCTGTTAACTGATTGCCTGCTTCAATTTATTCCAACAACACAGAATACTGAAATAGGCTTTCAGATAACTATATCAACACATACCAACATGCTACTAAAAATAATCTTTTATGTTGCTAAGATTGCCTAAAACTCTCCATTGAACAAAAAAAAAGGTTTGTAGTTTTGTATTTTTTTATAATTGAAATTGAAAGAATGAAAACATTTTTGCTAGAAATGTTTATTTTGTCTTTGTCTCTTTTGGAATTCTTTTACTTGATCTTTTCTCAATGGATATTAAATTTTTTTACAAATTATTATAAAAAATATTAATAGCAATACAAGATCTACATTTGATTCCCCACTTTTAGTAGCTTTTATTTGTAAAATTGACACTGCTACATCAAATCTTTAAAATTTGTTTTGCAAATTTTTAATTGAAAGAGCATGACTGCAATGTTTTATTAGAATAGGAGAAATTACATAAAATACTAAAAAGATAACAAATAAAATTAGACAGAGGTTGAATTGAATATATAGGTTCTTCTCTTTATAAAATAATGTTTATTGATCATAAGTTTAACAGCAAAATCTTTTTGTTAATTTTTACCAATATAACTTGCTTTAGTATATATATATATATATATATATATATATATATATATATATATATATATATATATATATATATATATATATATATATATATATATATATATATATATATATATATATATATATATATATATATATATTTATATATTTATATATATATATATATATATATATATATATATATATATATATATATATATATATATATATATATATATATGAATTAAGTATGATAAATAACTTATAAAACAATGATAGAAATTGTACTGCTTTATTTCTTTTAGAAAAATAACTAAATTACAGTTTCGTCAAATATTGTTGATGTTGACAACTTGTTTGTTGTTTCCAAAATATGTGACTTGATAACTAATTTTTCTTGCTTTTTCTTGCCTGTTTAATAATTGATCTTTTAATAAACTTTAAGAAATATATTCCCTGCTTAAGTTACTTCAACATAGTCTCTGGAAAAATCAAATGAAAAAGAAGAAAAAAACAAAAACATAGTTTATCAAATAACAAGTATGTTTTAAATACTCCTTTTCTAAACTAAATGATAAATTAATAATTTTCCATCTCCAGTATATGCTTTATGAAACTATAAAAATGCATTAACATTTGTAGAATGGTTATCGTTAACAACAGATCTTGATTTAAATTCAGATTTGTGCATTGAGGTAATACACTCATCAATTTCTTTTTTCAAACATAAACATGTTATGTAAACTTTAGGTGAGGATTTCAAAACATAAGAATAAATTACAATCATTTAAACAAAATCATACAAACAATCATAAAAACAAAAACAAATTCTTTATAAAAATTATCTTCTCAATCTTCATCAAATTGTTAAGCACTTTGGGCTGCTCTTTGGAAGTACATCTTACCCACAAGAAACAAATAATCACTTAATACCAAATTTTTGTCAATAATTTTTTTAATATATTATAGTTTTTTAATTTGTAATTTTCACCACTGCGAAACCATTTAAATAAGTTTAAATGAGCATTTATTGGGCAATGAGAAAAAAAAAGAATTTTATTAACTTCAAAACAGTTGGTATGCCTGATATTTCTTGCCTACTGTAAATAAATGACCCCATTTGTTGCATTTTAATTGCTGTATGTTTGAGACATGATGCATAATAGAGTATTTACATAATAGAGTAAATATTTTGAAGAAAAATTTATGTTTTCTACTTAATAATTGCAATTATAATAAATAAAAAAACTACAAACCTTTAAAATTATTTCCAATGGAGAGTTTTAGGTAGTTTTAGCAATATTTAAGATTATTTTTAGTAGCATGTTGTAATTTTGATATAGCTATCTGAAAGACAATTTCAGTATTCTTTGTTATTGGAATAAACTGAAGCAGGCAATCAGTTAACAAAAATTCTAGCAGAAAATAATGTAAGTACTCAAAGAAAATCTAACTATTATTAAACCATTTTAATAAAATAAAAATAAAACAATTATAGTTCAAACAAGACTCTTAACCATAACAAAAATGAAGTTTTTATACTAGAGCCGTAAAAAAACTGCTCTCTTCAGGCCGTGTAGTTTAAGTATAGAAGTTATACCTAAAATATAACTTATAAGTTATATAATTATAAGTTAAACTTATATAATAGAAGGTATATCTTCTATTGACTTAAGTATAACTTCTATTGACTTAAGTATAACTTCTATTGACTTAAGTATAACTTCTATTGACTTAAGTATAACTTCTATTGACTTAAGATTGATTTAAGTAGGCCATGATATATTATAAATAATAACTCATAAATTTTATGAAATTTATAATAACTTCATATATTGTATATGAAGTTATTATAATTGCTTCATATACAATATATGAAGTATTTGAATACAATAGTTATATTATAATAACTTAATTTCCGTAATAAGTATAACATTTTAAAAGCTTTTATTTTGCAACTCTTACAACAAAGCACTCAATTTTTATAGAAATTTCCACGCTGTACATGTACTTACCACGCTAGAAATTTCCCTTTTAAATATTTCAACACGGTTTTCTAGATTTGAGCGCCTGAATAAATCAGAGAACGAAATCGCCTGAATTAATTAACTAAAAATCAGGAAATTGGCCTGATTTTAAGGGCGAAAAAATTACATGAATAATTCATGTAATAATTTCCCTGAATTCATCTTAGAGTGTATGTATTAACTAAAGCTTGCTTTTCAAAAATTTGTACAAGAGTTTGAAAAAGATCGTACAACATTTGGAGGTAGTTTGTTTTACAACAATTGTTGCAGAAATTGATTTATTTCTGTTTATGTAAGAATTCCCGGTGGTAAAAGGTGGAGTAAGAGTTCCAGGTGGGATAAATAATTTATTAGTAATTTATTTTTCGAATAGTAAATTATTTTTCTCACATTATTGTTTCATTTTATCTTTTATTTTTTGAAAGATTCGATTTTTAGTTTTAATTGAATTTGTTACGATACATCATCAATAGCTATATATCGTAGCTATATACCTATTGATATATCGCTATGTGTTTTGCAAGGTAACTACCGCTAATACGATATGTATACCGGGTTACGCACACATTTAAAACAACCATGACAATTCATTTAAAACATCGTTACAATCAATTGATTTTCAATTAAAACGTTTAACGTATGCGCAATCTAAACAATCTATATTATTCACAAAAAAAGGTTTTATTTTTTAAAAATTGTATTCATTTGTTTTAATTTAATGGAATTTATTTTAACTTTAAATGGATGCAAAACCCGGTATATATGTGTGCGCCTTACTTAGAAAATACACTGAGAAATTTGATGTTCCTATAAAAAATGATTGGTGACATAGCATATATATGAGCAGAGTGATATAAAATAGGTTCTAATCTTAACATTCTGACCCGGGAAAACCCTTTGGTGGAATGATAGCCCTTACTGTAGGGATCTCTTAGATATAAGTATCAAAATCAGATTACAGCGTCCTGGCAAATTATTTACATTTGAATTTTCATCCTAGTTAAAACACAAAACGTGTTTTAAACGTTTAATATAATTATTAATACGTTTTAAAACGTATTATAGACATATTAAACACATCTTGTGTTTAATAAAATATTTTATTAATTGCACCAACATGTAAAATGAGAGCTTATTTTCAATTTTATAGCATTAAAAATTATCAATTTACATAAATATATACAAGGAAAGAAAAATATATTTTTGAAGTTATTTAAGTAACAAACATAAAATATATTGATTGCACAAACAAAATGACAGCTTGTTTTGCATTTCTTCATCCCAAAACTATGATTAGTTTGCAAAAACTGTTTTAATTGATAAAAAACGTATTTAATTATGAAATAAATTATTTTTGAATAATTTTCTACTTTTGAATTCTGGGAAAAGGCACGTTGTTTTTACTTTATTTATGACAGTTAAACTGAGCACATCTAATTTTACCAAAAATGCCAAATATTGCTAAAAACCACCACAAATGCAGGAAAACTGTTTGTTTTCTTTGTTTTAGTAAACAAGAGCTAATATTAAATCTAAAACGAAGATGTTATATTATACTGAAAAAGAAAATCCACGATCATTAATGATGACAAAGTTCCACTTGGAATATGTGGAAAATATTGCTCTTATTTAAGAAAGAAGGAAAGTGGAGAGGCAAACTACCATCATTGTATAAGTTTGAGACTATAAAACTTCGACCAGAAACTCGAGATTCTCACTGTGACTGCTTGATCTGTTCAATTAGATAACTGAGACAAAATGGTCAAATGAAAATTGAAATCGCACAATGTTCAGCAGCTAGTACACCTTTTTTTTTTGCGTGTTTCACTTAATGAGATAAGACGTATTTTATTTTGGCGTAAGTCTTCTTTTTTTTTTCCTGCATTATAAGTATTTTGCTATCATCTTTTTCACTCCAATATATCTCATCTCTATTTATATATCTCATTAACTATATCTCATACTTCTATTTCTTAGTTTTGGTATAACTTTTTTAGTAATACTTTTTTAGTATTACTTTCGCTACTTTTCTTCTTTTACTATTATATATTCCTTGCGTGTTTTTGAGTAATTTAAATATAGTATTTTGTTTTTTAACATTTACACGTATACGTAATTATATACCTCTATTATATGTTATTGTTGTAAACATTTATTTAATTAACGGTTTTATTTTTTCTTAAATTCAGTGTTATTATCTTAGAGAGTTTTTTAAAAGTTTCAGCGACTTTTATTTTTTATTTTTATTATACTCAAGTCGTATTCTAAATTTCTATCGTTTTCTAATTTTTTGTTTATTTTCACTTAGATAAATAAGTCGCTGTTTAAAAACGGAAGTAGACTCGACCCAGGCAATTACCGGCCTATATCCTCAACATCAGTTGTATGTAAAGTGTTGGAGAAAATATTACATGACACTATGGTCAATCATTTAGCCGAACATAGCCTTATTTCAAAAAGTCAACACGGTTTTGTCAATAAAAAAGCTTGTGTAACTAATTTGTTGGAGTCGATTAACATGATGTCAAAAGCATTATCTGACAAGATGTCTATGGATGTAGCTTTTATATATTTCAGTAAAGCATTCGCTATGGTTCCCCACAAGAGACTAATTTACCAACTTGAGGCATATGGTTTTACTGGAAATCTCCTGAATCGGATAAAATCGTTTTTACATCAGCGTTTTCAACGAATCGTGATGGGCGATTATATTTCCTTGTGGCTTAAAGTATTAAGTGGTGTCCCTCAAGGATCTGTATTAGGTTTAATACTTTTTATCATTTTTGTGAACGATATATCCGATATTATTAACCATCCATGTAAAATGTATG